GCAAGGATCTAAAACATTTCTCACAGACAGGCCTCGTGGTGTCCGTAGGCTTGCCCTCACTGTCAGAGATATAGCTCAAATACTTCCAAATTTAGCTTCTGGCGTCTTTTTTGTCAACAAGCCGAGGCGCAGCGGCAGCTGCACTCCCACTTGCAGCCATGCTTCTCGTTTTCTCACATGCTCTGGCAGCTGGCGCGTGGCCGCGTGCACGAGAGAGGGAAGGGACTTAGAACGTGCTTGAGAGGGGCGGGACTGCAGGCACGGCTGCAGTGCAGGGAGTGGAAGCAGAGCGCTGAACACACACGGCTCTTTAAAACGGCGCTTTCTCACCGGAGTACTTTTCCCCGTCATTCTGAAAGTACCGATACTAATGAAACGGAGGAATCATACCGTTTTTAACGGCAGGGTATCGCGGTACCTTTCAAGTATCGGTACACCGTGCAACACTAGTTCAGAGCAGGTATTTCTCCTGCCGGATTTGGAACCCCCCCATATCTTTGTCCAGGATAGTCACAGACTCACCAAAATCACACTGGTGCTTGCTGTTCCCCTCTAGTTTGTGCTCACAAATGCATTTCACTCTGGGGTCAGCAGGTACAAAAATAAAGAGGGGCTTCAAAATCCGGCAGCTCTAACAACTGCACTGCCGGATTTTGAAGCCCCTCTTTAGTTTTTCACCTGCAGGCAGGGGCGGACTGGGGGGAAAAAGTGGCCCGGGAATTAATTGACAGACAGGCCCACTTAATGCGCGGCATGTATCGGCTGTCCGGCGACGAAAGTATGTTACTTAACAAAAAACCCTATGTATTTTATGTTATTTTGGACCATTATTCATATAGTAATCACATTACCTGAGCCCTTGAGTTGCCTAGAGCAAAATAGTTACGGCATATATTTAGTGATTTTAATGTTAACAGATCATTGATGCAATAACATTTGGACCCAATTTGCCTGACTTGACACATGGAATAAAACATGGGCGTAGGAAGCATCCTCAATGTGGGTGAGACAATTTAACAGGGGGTGTGGGCAGGTGGTGGACCTCACCTCCTCTAGGGGGGTCCGGGGGCAAGCTCCCCCGGGAAGATTTTTTTTTAAATGTTGAAGTTAAATACATCAATCTGGTGCACTTTGAGAGCAAAGTTAGGGACTAAATCTATGGCAGTCAGTAGGGGCTTGGACTGTGAGCCGTAGGGTCGCCGGTTCAAGTCCCCGACCAGACCTATTTGGAGTGTGGACTTCTACTTGGAGAGGTCCCAGTTCACCTCCTGCCGTGGTGCCCTTGAGCAAGACACCGGACATCCCCCTTCCCCCCTCACTCCCATTGCTCCGCGGGCGCCGTACAATAGCTGCCCACTGCTCCTAGTACTAGACTCCTGGTACTAGGATGGGTTAAAAGCAGAGAACACATTTCACTGTGTGTGCTGTGTGCTCTGCATGTGTGACCATTAAAGAGGGTTTCATCCCTCCCAATTCTTCTTCTTCTTCTTCTTCTTCTTCAACACCCATATGAAACAGAACTGTAAACAGATTAACTTTTTCTTTCAACATTTATTTTAACAGCAAGTGGAGGCAAAAGTGACTGCACCCAAAACAATAAACCTGCTAGCTAACTTGCCTAAACTCAGTAACAGAATGTGGGCAACACGTTCTTCTCCACAGCCGAGCGACCTCTGAGTCAGACGTCACTTCCCCCTTTTCTATCCTACGGGTACAGCCGTACAGCCACTCCCCCTGAACCCTGTTGTAACAACATAATACACGTTTTGGGGATGCAGCTTGGGATGTGAGGACATGGCTTAGAAAGGGCGTGTCGCCTTCTGTCCTGCCAGTGTTGGCAGGACATTAATTAAAATGTCGAACTCGGACTTCATTTTAAGGACATTTCGGCCAGGATTGGCAAAACAGGAGAGTGTGTGCACCAGTCTGCCTTGATCTATGAATTCATCTCTGTGACTCTCACAGTATCTGCTGCCCACAGCTGTTTTATAGAAGGAAAACCTCCTTCACTTCATGAAATCTCTGCAGCACCAGGAGGCAGCGGGAGGGTTACTCAGCCTATGAGAAGAGGAGCGCGCAGTGCCTTTCACACACCGCCTTTCACGCACTGATGTGTTTTAACCACACACACCTCTAGACACACACACACACACACACACACACACACACACACACACACACACACACACACACACACACACACCACACACACACACACACACACACACACACACACACACACACACACACACACACACACACACACACACACACACACACACACACACACACACACACACACACACACACACACACACACACACACACACACACACACACACACACACACACACGATTGAAACGCAGGCTTTTGTTCCTCCATGTTACATTGTTATTGTTTCACTGCGGACCCGCACATTTTTTTCAAACGCTCCCCTTGTTGGTCCATCTGCGCGGTTTTGTGGGCTTTGATGATTCGGCTGTACCTTTAGTAATGAATATTAAATGTTGAGGAAATCTTTCCACCAATAATTCTAATAAGTAATCCAAAATGTATTCACTTCAGGTTTACGAAAGTAACTGTAATCAGATTACTCGTTTTTCAAATGTAACGCGAGCTGAATACAGTTACTTGATTTTTGTATTCTGATTACGTAACGCCGTTACATGTATTCCGTTACAACCCAACCCTGGCCACACCCCACTGGGCTGGGCTGGGCCGGAACACTTACAAATGTGGGCCGGTAGGATTTCGGTAAGCAAACAAAAAAAAGAGAGTGGCCGGAACACTTACAAATGTGGGCCGGTAGGATTTAGGCAAAAATAAAAGTTTTTTTTTTTTTAAATAATTTTTGGCCCTCTGGCCCACACACAGCACCGGCCCATCGGGGAAACTCCCGGTATTCCCAATGGCCAGTCCGCCCCTGCCTGCAGGGCCCAGAGTGAAATGCTTTTGTGAGCACACACTAGAGGGGAACAGCAAGCACCAGTGTGATTTTGGTGAAGTTGTGACTATCCTGGAGAAAGATATAGGGGGGGGTTTCAAATCCGGCAGGAGAAATACCTGCTCTGAACATGTTATGTATAACAGTGCAGATCTTCCCTATTGACACCAGGATTAACCTAGTCTAAAATAAGGAACATTAATAGTGTGATAGAAAATGAAATGTAATGTAATAGAGGCACAGATATAAGTTCAATAATACACTTTATTTTAGGGCACCTTTCAAAGCATTCAATGTCACTTTAAAATACAATTAAAAAAAATATGAGTGGCATTACAATACAAACATGTGTTGAGTAGGGATATATAAAAATGATATTCAAAGGAGCAATTCAAGTGAGTGAAGCCAGTTTGAACACATTATCTTTTAGGCTTGATTGAAAATAACACAGTGTCTGTCTGACATGATCATGTGATATCATTACTGTTATATCATTGCTTACTATTCGTGGTTATCAGACACTTAAACAACAGAGAAGTTTTTAAGAAATAGGACTATTGACAAATCACATATTATCCTGTCATTGTCTGTTCTGTAGGAAGGAGGAATATAACAGAGTGGGACTATACACTCAAAAACGGAAGTTTATTCCAATACGAAGATTGTGACAGATCTGAAAAACGTGTCCTTAAAACGAGCCTCCTCGCAATTATATGCACATTATTTATTCAGCCGTTTGCTGTTTAATCTGATATATCATTCAAAAGAGAGAAAAAAGCTTTGAAAAGGGTGAAAAAAGCTTAGAAAACGGCGAACGATCAATACAGGCGATGACGTCACCTTTGCGCGTCCCCGCGAACAGGGCTTCAATCCACGGCAGGGCTTCAACCTATGGCTTCAACCTACGGCATAACACCAGTGTTGTGTCACATTATGCCTCCCCGTCATGAAATGCCCCCCTTGTCACGGGAACGCGCATTTCTAAATGACACGTTTACACCTCTAAATGACACGTTAACACCATAGGTTTACACCTTAAAACGATGTTTAAAACGAAAAGTAAACGTTCAGGGTTTTTATTAATGGTAATTTTCAGACTGTGAGTTGTTTAGTGGTAGCTCATAGTCTTGATTCTTCTGGTTTAACTTTTCGCTCCATATTTGAGGTGTCGAAATTCGTTCGTCACTTCCTTTTCAGTTTGTTTTTTTAAATGTTTTTTTTATCATTATTGTTACGTCCTGTCTGTATAAACGTGCTTTAAAATGTAGGCCTATTGTTTAATTGTACATAGTTGTCATCTAATAATCAAAATATGTTTACAAATGTTACATAGTCTTTGTCAGCATATATGCTATGCGTACAAAATAAAAGTGTGACATTCATGAAACTTGCTCCATTTATTGGTACCAGTCCTAGAACCATACCCTGAAAAATGCTTGAGGGTGGGATTCATAGAAACCTCTTTTGGGGGGGGGGGGCATTTTATGACAGGCCTGGCCATCACAATATGACCCCCCTTGCTATCTTACAACATAAAAGTGTCACATTCATGAAACTTGCTCCATTTATTGGTACCAGTCCTAGAATCATACCCAGAAAGATCAACCCGCGCAATGACGGTCAAGCAGCTGTTATTGACAGCTACGCTATGACCGCCATCTGGAAACACAAATTTGGAAGAATCCGGGTATGTACATGATTGGAATGACTTTGCTTTTGTAAATGTTGCAAATGTGCATTTTTCAACAGGAATGTAATACTTTTGCAACTACTCTCAGGTTGATCCAATGGCACACAGTCATCGTGGGAATTGTGAACGAGAACCATCACTGGATGTTGGTGGTGAGAATAGGAGCATATTTTAAGTTCCAATCTGTATCTATAGTGCTGTATACACCATATATAATTAGTGATTTGCAAGATAACCGGGCCACACATACATGCTGTCACTTATTATTGATCAAATCTAAACAATACCCTACATCGTACCTGCGTAATGTATGGTTCCTGCCTAATGCATGTTGTGTTTTCATGTGAATAATAAAAGGTAATGTATGGATCCACTTGGAGAAGGGAAAGGCAAAACGAAGGTGTGCCTGCAGTCTACAAGGTACATTTGATACAGTGTACTAGTTCCGGTGTTTTATGAGTATTTTGACAATGATGTGCTGCATCTTGACACATGTACTATCTACATACTGTAGAGCCTTTATGAGGATGAAAGGCTGCAAGGTGTCAAGATGGACATGCAGCACCCTCCCCCATAATCGCCAACAAGACAGCACATCCTGTGGTGTCCTGGCCTTAAAAGTGAGTGTGAAATGCATTTAGCCAAACATTACTCTCAAACTCAAATTCAGTAGCAATTAGACTGAATATCTTGACTTGCTTTTATACATCTTGATCAAAGATGTATTGAATTGTGTCAAACTACACATATACAACATGTCATTCTTTAAATCTGTTGGGTCATTTGTCTGTATTCCATTTGAGGGTAAAATCATAGACCATGCAGTCCATATACTAATCAAGGTTCTCTTGAGTTTGAAACCTCACAGAAGGCGAGCTGAGGCTGGACATTGCTACTTCTCTCCTCAGAGAATCTGGTTTGTTACCTTTTCTCAACATTGTCAATGACTTCATGTAGTTACTTTTATTAATTGTATCTCATAAGTATGCATCAATAACCTAATATATTAATAATGTGCCATGCAAATTGTTGTATTGTATCACTGCTTGGACCATTGGTACTGTTGGGTTAATATTGACCAGGGAAATTATCAGGGTTTTAAAAGCAACACAGTGGCTTAAGTATAGATTAGGGTAAATAGTCACTACATACAGTATATTGTGTATCTCAACTCCAAACAGATAACATATGAAGCATCGCAGGCAGGCATCTTCAACTGCAATTTCATATAGGCTACACACGTCACACTCTAACACACCCTTTCAATTCTGCGATTTATTTAAGATGTGAGATTTCCCCATCTTCCTCCTTTCAATGTGCTCATTGGTGTGTATTACTTTTAACTGATATCCTCAGTTAATTTTTACCTTGAACTTATTATAATCAAAGCTGTAAAGCTAATACATGTGATGAACAACAAAAGAACCATGAGAACCAAACTTAAATTGATGCGTACAGTGCGAAAGAAGTTTTTGGATGTTTTGTAATGACATTGTGCAGGTTCCCATTCTACAGAGGGTAAGGAGAGTGTGAAAGAAGGAGCAGATGGCTCCTCTGTGCTCAGATTTAATCATTTAGAAAATCTATGTGTTTGTGTGTGTTTTGCCTTTTCTTCACACAAAATAATAAAAGACCACAACAAATGTGTCCTTATATAATTGACCTTTTAGTCAACAATTGGAATGGGTCACCTTGACCCCAAATCTGCAATTACTCATTATTATCTCAACAGATGATCTAAGCAGGCTTTGCTTTTACTGCGGGATGGAGGAGCAGGATGAAGAACATTGGGTAATTTCCTATTGCACATTACAAATAAAGAAAATTAGCAGAAATATGTTTCCAGACTTTATCAACATAACATTTGCGTTGGTAATTGCTACTATATTTGGCATCTTCAGCATTAACTGATAAAGGATGAATGTTTTGCTTGTTTTTCCATACATTTTTGTTGAAAATGTATTTCTTTCTCATAACACAACATTTATGTTTTTGAAAGATTTCGATTATTGAAGGAATGGTTAGAATGTTAGTGGAAAATACATTAGAGAAAATCCCATATTGCATACCTTACATAACAAGTATTTATTGTTTTCTCAGATTTGCTGTGACATTTGTCAGCAGTGGTACCACCACCAATGTGTACAAAGGCCGCCAGTTGATCAACCGTACTTGTGCCCTGGATGCACATAATGCCCCGAAGGAACCATCATTAACTGTCCACTGTCATTTCAACCAATGCAACTATTGTTTGGCCTGTCATAAAATGCACCCTACCCCAAAAGAGGTTTCTATGAATCCCACCCTCAAGCATTTTTCAGGGTATGGTTCTAGGACTGGTACCAATAAATTGAGCAAGTTTCATGAATGTGACACTTTTATTTTGTAAGATAGCAAGGGGGGGCATATTGTGATGGCCAGGCCTGTCATAAAATGCCCCCCCCCCCCCCACCAAAAGAGGTTTCTATGAATCCCACCCTCAAGCATTTTTCAGGGTATGGTTCTCGGACTGGTACCAATAAATGGAGCAAGTTTCATGAATGTGACACTTTTATTTTGTAAGATAGCAAGGGGGGGCATATTGTGATGGCCAGGCCTGTCATAAAATGCCCCCCCCCCCCCACCAAAAGAGGTTTCTATGAATCCCACCCTCAAGCATTTTTCAGGGTATGGTTCTCGGACTGGTACCAATAAATGGAGCAAGTTTCATGAATGTCACACTTTTATTTTGTACGCATAGCATATATGCTGACAAAGACTATGTAACATTTGTAAACATATTTTGATTATTAGATGACAACTATGTACAATTAAACAATAGGCCTACATTTTAAAGCACGTTTATACAGACAGGACGTAACAATAATGATAAAAAAAAACATTTAAAAAAACAAACTGAAAAGGAAGTGACGAACGAATTTCGACACCTCAAATATGGAGCGAAAAGTTAAACCAGAAGAATCAAGACTATGAGCTACCACTAAACAACTCACAGTCTGAAAATTACCATTAATAAAAACCCTGAACGTTTACTTTTCGTTTTAAACATCGTTTTAAGGTGTAAACCTATGGTGTTAACGTGTCATTTAGAGGTGTAAACGTGTCATTTAGAAATGCGCGTTCCCGTGACAAGGGGGGCATTTCATGACGGGGAGGCATAATGTGACACAACACCGGCACTAAAGTACGGCAAGTCCTGCGGTGTGAAAGCGGCTATAGTACAAAAAAACCGTGTGCTGTTTGGTGACAAGCTAATGTACTAAAAACGATAGTTAGCCTAGCCTTAACATGACCCAGTTTGCGCATTAGTTTGCGCTAATTTGGTAATAAGCAGCTACGCCAGTACACAATAGGAATTACTTTAACACATTTCAGTGACAATAATAAACCAAGAGAGTAGGCTTCTACCCGCAAGTAACCAACTATCGTCATGTTTGAGCTAAAGCTAGCGGTTTAGCTAACAGTGGAGACAGTGCATCATAGCTTGGTTCCTTCAGTTTTCAAACGTTAAGGCTAAATATTTGCAACAACATTTAAACAATTTAGGTGGAACATGTTATATCTGACATTGTACATTATTTTTATATAAGAAATATAACTTGTCTGAATCACACTTACCGTATGTCGAAGTTACGTCTCAAGAGAAAAAGGCGGCACATGTGACGGTGGAAAGATCTGTCAAAGACGTTGACGTCATGACGTCACACGCACGTTAGATGAGAGAAACTTGATTGATTTGCTTTCACTGATAACAAAATAGCAAGTCAAGTCAACGAACAAAAAAATCACATGAATACAACCCACAAAAGTACATTGGAATCTCTTAAGCAGAAATCTGAATCAGATTTATTAAATGTATTAAGTTACTTCAACTACATTACATTACATTGCATTTAGCTGACGCTTTTGTCCAAAGCGACTTACAATAAGTACATTCGACCAGGAAGACACAACCTTGAAGAAAACAGAATCATATAAGTATATCAGGTTTCATAGAGCCAAACATTTCAAGTGCTACTCAACTGGCTTTAGGTAATCCAGTCCTTTATTGGTATAAAAGTGCTTTGTTAATAGTTCTAACGCTCGAAGTGGAGTCGAAAGAGATGAGTTTTCAGTTTGCGCCGGAAGATATGCAAGCTATCTGCCGTCCTGATGTCAATGGGGAGCTCATTCCACCATCTTGGAGCCAGGATAGCAAACCCACGTGTTTTCGCCGATGGGAACTTGGGTCCCCCTCGCAGCGAGGGCGCAACGAGTCGTTTGGCTGATGCAGAGCGTAGTGCACGCGCTGGGGTGTACGGTTTAACCATGTCCTGGATGTAGGAAGGGCCAGATCCATTCGCAGCACGGTAAGCAAGTACCAGTGTCTTGAAGTGGATTCTAGCAGTTACCGGAAGCCAGTGAAGGGAGCGGAGGAGCGGAGTGGTGTGGGAGAATTTAGGAAGGTTGAAAACCAGACGAGCCGCTGCATTCTGGATGAGCTGCAGAGGTCGGATGGCACATGCAGGTAGACCAGCCAGGAGGGAGTTGCAGTAGTCTAGGCGTGAGATGACGAGAGCCTGGACCAGAACCTGAGTCGCTTTCTGAGTCAGCTGGGGACGTATCTTCCTGATGTTGTAAAGCGTGTATCTGCAGCAGCGGGTTGTAGCAGCGATGTTTGCAGTGAAGGACAGGTTGTTATCTAGGGTCACACCCAGATTCCTTGCAGTCTGAGTCGGGGAAACAACTGAGGTGCCGATGTTGATTGTCAGGTCAAGAGTTGGACAATCTTTTCCCGGGAGGAAGAGCAGCTCAGTCTTGTCAAGGTTGAGCTTGAGGTGGTGAGCAGACATCCACTGAGAGATGTCAGCTAGACAAGCAGAGATGCGTGCGACGACCTGGGTCTCTGAGCGGGGAAAGGACAGAATTAATTGGGTGTCGTCAGCGTAGCAGTGGTAAGAAAAACCATGCGGGCTAATGACTGATCCGAGCGAGTTTGTGTACAAGGAGAAGAGGAGGGGACCAAGAACAGAGCCCTGAGGGACCCCCGTAGTTAATTGACAAGGGTCGGACAACTACTATCAAGTACACTTTTTAGAGTGTACTGGATAATCACCTGTTCGTAAAAGCAGAGAAGTGTGAGTTCCACGCATCAACTGTCTCATTCCTGGGGTTCATCATTTCTCCTGGACAAATCCTGATGGACCCTGCAAACAGGGTCAGGACTCCCTGGAAGAAGAGATCTTGTATCTCAATGGGACATTCCTGGATAAATAAAGGATAAATAAAAAAACGTCAGTGCAGTGGCAGACTGGGCCACCCCCACCAATAGGAAGAAGGTACAGCAGTTTTGGGGGTTTGCTAACTTCTACAGACGATTTATTAGGAACTTTAGCTCTGTTGCTGCTCCCCTTCATGCACTGACCTCACCAGGGGTTAACTTTGTGTGGGGCCTCAGGGCCGAGGAGGTTTTTAACGAGTTAAAAAGAAGGTTTACCACAGCTCCCATACTGACTGTTCCTGATCCTCAACGACAGTTTGTTGTGGAGGTGGATGCCTCCATTGATGGGGTGGGGGCCATTCTCTCACAGAGAGCGGCTGGGGATCATAAGATGCATCCTTGTGCCTTTTTGTCTCGCAAACTATCTCCCGCAGAGAGAAACTACGATGTCGGAAACCGAGAGCTGTTGGCAGTCAAGATGGCTCTGGAGGAGTGGAGGCACTGGCTTGAGGGGGCGCCACAGCCGTTCTTGGTTTGGACCGACCACAAGAACCTTCAATACATCCGCAAAGCTAAGAGATTGAACTCACGCCAGGCCCGGTGGCAACTTTTTTTTAACCGTTTTGACTTTACATTGTCTTTCAGACCTGGGTCCAAGAATGGCAAACCTGACGTCCTCTCACGCCTCCATGACCCAGAGCCCATGGCCAAGGATCCAGAGCCAATCCTTCCACTCTCCCGTGTGGTTGGGGTGGTGACATGGCCTATAGTAGATCAGGTGAAACGTGTCAATGGTGAGGGGCCGAAACCTAGTGGCTGTCCATTGGACAGGCTATTCGTGCCTGAATCCATACGGTCACAGGTTATTCATTGGTCTCACACATTACTGCTCACTTGTCATCCAGGGGTCAAGCGGACCGTATTCGTCGTTCGACAGAGGTTTTGGTGGCCTTCCTTGGTTAAGGATGTCTCTGAATATGTGGCTGCCTGTGTAGTTTGTGCCAGGAACAAGACGTCATCAAAATCACAGATGGAACTGCTGCAGCCTCTCCCCGTTCCCAGCAGGCCCTGGTCTGACATTTCGTTGGATTTTGTCACGGGTCTTCCTCCATCCAAGGGTAACACCACTGTCCTCACTGTAGTGGACAGGTTGTCAAAGATGGTCCATTTTATTGCCATGCCAAAGTTGCCGTCAGCTAAAGAGACTGCTCAGGCGTTATTGACTCATGTTGTCCGTATTCATGGTATTCCCAGAGACATTGTGTCGGATCGAGGTTCTCAGTTTTCCTCCAGGTTCTGGAAGGAGTTTTGCACCCTCCTGGGAGCGTCCGTCAGCCTCACCTCAGGTTATCATCCCCAGTCCAACGGACAGACGGAACGGCTGAATCAGGAGCTGGAGACGTGCCTGCGCTGCCTGGTTTCTCAGAACCCTGCAAACTGGAGCGAGCATCTGACATGGGTGGAGTATGCACGCAACTCTTTGCCCACCTCTGCTACCGGTCTGTCTCCCTTTCACTGTGTCTTTGGCTATCAGCCTCCTCTATTCTCAGAAACTGAGAAGGAGGTGGTGGTGCCATCTGCTGACGCCTTAGTCAGAAGATGCCACCATGTCTGGGCTGCAGTTCGTCGGGTCCTCCTGAGGAATTCGGCTCGGATGAAGACGGTGGCGGATCAACGGCGGCGGGCGGCACCTACATACAGACCGGGGCAGCGGGTGTGGTGGTCCACAAAGGATCTGCCACTCAGGGTCTTGTCAAAGAAGCTCGCTCCAAGGTTTGTGGGTCCATTTCCTGTCACTAAAATAATCAATCCTGTATCTGTCCGTCTCCGTCTGCCCAGGTCACTACGGGTTCATCCAACGTTCCACGTCAGCCGAATCAAGCCGGTTCTGGACAGTCCCCTGGTTCCACCCTCCAAACCCCCCCCCCCCCCCCCCCCCCCCCCCCCCCCCCCCCCCCGTGTTGTTGATGGCGGTCCGGTATACTCTGTCAAACGTCTCCTGTCAGTGAGAAATCGAGGCAGAGGTCGTCAATTTCTAGTTGATTGGGAGGGCTACGGTCCTGAAG